CTGGGTGGTTAGATGCATCCATGCACAAAACAGTTTTACCAGATGTGAGGGAATGGATAAACGCCGGTGACATGACGTACAAGTATGACTTCTAACTATTGCAGAGATACTGTTGATGCCTTGGGGCCATAATAGAGAACGGTTAGAAATAGCATCCAAGTCTTTAACCGATGTGATCTGACCGAACAATGCACCATCAATGAATAGAGGCTTGTAAGTAAGTAGAAACAAATAAAGGATACAAAATTACATCTTGCAGAACCCGCGGGTTTGAATTTTTAAACCGAGGTCCCTTTTTCATCAAATGATCATATTGGAGTGAAAATTTCCTTTATATTTCCGATGCACTCTTTTCAATGGGTCTTAGATAAACGATCACATCGGATGTAAAGAGTTATCAAACACCGTATACGTCGAACGAGGCAACGAGCTCTCTATAAGGGTCGGAAAATATTGAAAATTCTGTCAAACGAATCGTGTGATTGATCCGCACAATACTTTCAGGTTGGAGCATTGGGTTCTCTTAAAATGTTCCAACCAACCGGTGAAACTTGCAAGTTCTCCCATTTGTGTACGCGAGCGCTTGTTAGTACGTTGATTGTCACCTTTCGATAAGAAAACGCTCGTTTGTTTTCCGCACCACGTGCACAAATGGTGTATTCAAATACTTATTCCATTGAAGAAGTGAACCAATTGTCGGATGAGGTAACGGATTTCTTCATGTACGTTATGCAGAGAGTAGATACTCGCACTGATGCACAACCTCCAGGAAGCAACCAAAACTGGTCCTATCAAGATCTGAGCACGAACCGAAGCCGCAATCAGGACGGATGGACAAATCACCACTACTGCTTCCCTCATTCCCGCGAAACAAATAAATGGCGGACCGAGACGATCACAGTGAGAACAGGTGACTAAAGCAGTCGATGGGGTGGACCACAAATCTAAATGCAAGGGTTGAGCACAAAACTGCCACTTCAGAAGCGCTGACGATGTCACCTCGGTTGTTGAGGCAACGTTTGCAAACAAATTGTCAAGCTCAGTGAACAGGTAAGACAGAATACTTTTGAACTTTCACAAAGCGAATAAACGTCGTTTGATTTTTCGGGGTTTGAACGGAGGTCCCTGTGTCCAAACTATTCATATACATATAACATTTCTTCTTCTTATTTCATATCAAACGGATGTGAAAACTCCTTTCTTCTTAAATGGGATACCGGTCAATTCAGAACAATGATTCTGTTCGACTAGCAATCAATTTTCATCTGCACATCGAAAACTCAATTTCAGTTACAACTGATGTGGCACAGGTTAAGCTTTTCCATACTGGAAGTTCATCACGGTCGATCGTCAAGCAAATTATTCGTTTCATCCAACCAAGCCTGAACACAGAAAGCAGCGAACTGGAGAACGTGATTAGCTTTTCCTAAATCCCATATTCCAGTTAGGGTCACAACGATCAAATAGCCACGCTGAGCAGTCAACACAAACTCGGGAATCAATACACGGCCTCCGACCAAGACAACACTCTCAGAAAAGTGGCGATCAACCAGACCACTTTATGACAAACAATGCCCATATTGTATTCCCATTAAATCCAAAAATATCTCTCACTATTTGCATCCGATCACAACGGTGAATCGAACGAACACTGGAACACTTCACCGAACCGCAATTCCAAAAGCACCGATACAAAAATGAGCAAATCGGGTTCTGAGAACGATGGGGACACAGAAGGGAGATGGATTGTTTCCGCAGAGCAACTCTACATCTGGCGAGATGCTTTCTCGGATTTTTCGAAAGCTTCTGCCAGTCCTTTTGGTTTTATTCTTTTTTTGTTCTAACAAAACAGGTGGCTGCTACACATCTGTTTCATTTGATAGAATGCACGAAATCATACACACATTTAGCGATGTACCCATGGTTTGGCGTCGATTGGCTTCAAAGTGAGAGATTAGGCTCTCAAACTATTAACTGAAAAATCAACCTGTACTACCAAAACGGCGTTTGAGAATGTCCTTCAACTCATCGAGAAGCAGACACCAACGGTCAAAAGAAAGCAGGTCGAAATATTGAATGAACAAATCGGGAATGGTGGACACATATTATATAACTCCTGGAGGGTTTCAAAACACGAAGATCTTTCACTACGGGCGAAGCACACAAACAAAACAGTGAATATGAGCTCGGGACACAGAATGGTATTCAGTAAACGTAACAGATCGCGCAAAGTTTCGCACACAAATATCATGCTCAAAAACATTCACCGACTAAATCCAACAGTTATTAGAGCAGTGGTAGGGAATGAGAGACAGTGCTCCATTGAAAGATATCGGTTTTCATCCTGACCGAAATCAGTCTCTCAATCATCTGCAACAAAAACTTATTTTGACTTCGAAAACCTCCTCATTATTTATGCTAACGGTTATAGTCTGGAGTGAAATCACAACAATCTGTGAGCAGTGCTGTGGAGGATACCCATACTGATTTCAAATGAGCCTCATTTAGATTTCGTCCTCGTGCACCGCCGCAAAAATAATCAATCAGCCAGACCATCAAGACGCGTTGAACTCTATTTCCCATCCCGTTTTCCTTCAAATTCTAATTTTCCGAAAACGTTTATGTCACGCCATCATTGAGGAATAAAAATATTATAGAGCTTAGAGAAACACATGGAAGAATGAAATTCTCTGTTGGACGTTTACCCTTTCACTTGTTCTGAAATGCACAAATTTCAAAAAATTTCTATCAAGCTCTGTGAAGAAAATCCATTTGAGATGGAATGTTGACGATCGAATCGTTGAGCTTTGAAACTGATAGAACGTTTCCTGGCTGCAGTGATAAATTCAGTCCAGACTACCACTTTGAAATGAAGTCAAGAATAAACATTTCCAATTTTCCGAATGAATCGGGGTATTTGAAATGAAAAAGACGAAAACACTTTGATCATTCGCATCGTTACCTGGTTTTGCACCATAACAACGTGAAGACCATTTCGGGCCACCAACTGCTTGTGATTTCCAGACTCTGGAATACGGCCTTTCTCCAGTACTAAAATCAAGTCCGCATCGCGCACTGTTATCTAAGTCTATGAGTAACAACTACCACAGTCCGCCCCATGGATGCTTTCTCTAGTGCATCTTGCAATACTTGCTTGGATTGTGTGTCCAAAACAGAAGTAGCTTCATCCAAAAGCAGCAATTTCGTTTTGCTAATCAACGCCCGCGCGATTACAAAACGTTACTTTTGATCTCCAGACATGCCGCCTCCACGTTCGGCGATCATCGTGTCGTAGCCCTGAAGAATGAGAAAACCGGTTCAAAATCTTGGTGTAGTATTTATGCCAAACAAATTTTACCTTAAATGGA